CTTATCCTCGACAGATTTTTCCATGATTCCACATTCTGGACAAACTGATTGGATAGGCCCAGTCTGTTTCACTCCTCTTTTTTGGTTTGTATTTAGTGCAGATTTAGGCTTCTTTTCTTTCGTTTTGCTAGTCTTCTTGTTTTTTTCTGCTGCCGCAAGAGCTTTTTTCACTTTTTTAGCCTCCATTGCAGCTATCTTCTCTTCAGCCAAACGCTTTTTTGTTTCTAAGCCTTGCTTGTAAGGAATGGCAGTCAAAATAGCAGTTTTACCTTTCGATTTCGATGTTTTGCGAATGCTGCCCACTTCCACTTTTGGTAAAGGCGAAATTTGCAAAACACGGACTTTAGGTTTATGTTCAAGAGCGTTTCGACAACCAACAGCTGTTGGTGTATTTAAACCGACACCGTCAGCATCACAGGGTTTTTGCAGAACTGGCTCGACCAATCTTGGTGAAGATGAACTGTCACCAACTTGTGCCTCTATCAACTCTATTGTTGTCGGAGAAACTAAAGAATCAACATCACCGCCACCGGGTTGCTGTAGAACTGGCTCGACCAATGTAAGTAGAGAGGCGATGTCACCAACTTATCCTTCTGTCAGCTCCATTGTTATCGGAGAAATAACCTGAAGAATTAACTGATCAACATCATCGAGTTGCTCCATGCCTGACTCGTGTGATGTGGGTTGAGATGCCCCTTCACCAATATGCCGAATTAGTGGTTGTGACTGCAACACTGGTATCTGAAGAATCTCAATAGGCATGCCAGTTTTCTCTATAATGAGTTCAACATATTCGCCTGTTGGTGAAACTTCACCAGCAACCAACTCTGTATTGCTGCCAGTTGCTTCATGTTCCAATCTTGGAATATCTGTAGGCAATGAAGCAGCAAAGTCTGCATCTTGAAAGACATCACGATTGATTGGCCATATACCAGTTTTTCTAAACCCATTGACTGCAGTCAGAGCACTGGCTGCACGAAGATAAGCCTCTCGGAAGAGCGCAGGTAATTGCAGAGTAGTCACTATTCTACCTGGGTGAACAAGTAACCACTTCTCAACTTCTTGAGTGTAATACGTACTGAGTGGTTTCATCAAGCTTACGTCTAATGGTTGTAGCCGATGGCTGCAATGAGGTGGTAAACATAGGAGAGAAACACACTTTTCACGAGCAAGATTGATAACATCAAGATTTAAGGTGTGGGTTTTATGTCCATCAAGGATCAACAGTACTGGTGAATCGGCACACGAATGACTGTGATATACAAAATGTTCAAACCATTTCAGAAACAAATCAGTTTGCATCCAACCAGACGGATGGGCTACACCGATGGATCCTGGTGGTGCAGCATCAAGTAACTCAGGCTTCATTCGGCATCTCGGAAACACAAACATAGGAGGGATGAAATTACCTGATGCACTCATGCATATTTCCACTGTCACTAACTGACCACGTTCTGCCGAACTCAAGCTGCCAACTTGCTTCTTGCCCCGAGCTGCTATCACCTTGGAAGGTCTGTTCGGCACAGTTGTGAAACCAGTCTCGTCACAGTTGTATACCCTGTCTGGACTATAGTGGTGCTTTGTCTGTAACTCAGTGAGCAAATCAAAAAACTGGTCAACAACAACTTTGTTGAAGCCTTGTGCCCGTGCCGAAGAAGTTGGCTCTGGCATTCTTAAAGACAGGTCTGGATGTCGTGACATAAATCCTCTATACCAGTCCAGACCTGCTTCTTCTTTGACAGAACTGAATCTTTCATGGATATTGTTACTTTTCGCTAGTTGATATGCGAGTTTTCGTAAGCGCTTAGGTGTGAAACCAAAAAGCATACTTTCCATGGTTTTTATATGCTGAACAAGTTCCAGTTCAGTTTCCGTATCGAATACATTGCACCTTGAGCCGAGTCTTTTTGCAGCTGCTGCTCCACTTGCTAGACTTGACTTGTACCTCCGCTGAAGTGTTGAACGGGGTACGCTGAAAAGTTTACAGGCTTTCTTTAATCCCATTGTTTTTGTACGTAATGCTTCAATTGCTTTGACCATACCTGTCTCTGACCACGTTTGTCTTTCAGTTTTTCTTTTATACCGTCCCATTTTATTGAAGAAGCTGAAACAAAGCACAATACAATTACATAATGTGCTATTAATCTGTAATAATAGTAGATTATACATTAATTTGAAACATTCAAAGACATACACCCTTGATTAATAGTACCATTAATTTACTTTAAAACAACAAGAAAATCAAAAGAAATTATTTTAATAACACACCAAATTTATTTAAATAAGCACACTTTTAAACGACTTTTTTATGTTGATATATCCCATAATGCAGTTTAAACTTAGTTATATTTTACATAACAGATTCAGACAAATTTATAATTTGAAGACCTCTCATTAAACAATATTACATATGAAGTTCATAGTATGAACTAGATAGGTTTGTAGTTGTTCAAAACGGTAACTAAGGCGTTGCTAAGGAACTATTTGATAATATACCTAGGTAAAAAGTTAAATATCACAAAATATACAAAACAAAATGTAGAATTTTTTTCAAAAAACTAAAAAATAATAATATTTTCTATCAGAAAAGATGAAAATAATTTTTCTTAAAAAAAATAATTTATTCACATTTATTTTGTGATGAACCACCTTAAGAAGTCAATGCCTGCATCAGCTGTCTAAAACGGGCCCTTTGGTCTAAAATGGGCCCATAGCGGGCCCGTTTTAGACACTGATAAGGCCATTACAAAATCCTCATGTTGTAACGTTCCGATAAAAAACACATGAAATCGCTCATTTCCTGAGTAATCGTAACAAAAAAACAAAAGCAATAGTGCCCTACCTTGTAACTCGATATGACGATATGACTTGTAGGTCTGTGATTTCGTAACGTCAAATAAAACAAGAGAAATTGATATAATTGATTCGACACGTTTTTACAAGACCCTGTCAATTATTAACGCAATGTAAACAATCATGCATATTCATTAAACTAAGCTGGTTCTATTTGCATTCAGAGTCACCGAAAAAATCCGCTTGGTGTCGTGCCAATCGTGGGGCCCGTTTTAACCGAGGGGCCCGTTATAGACCAATCTCCCCTATGTGTTGTTGGCAAAAGTTCCAGAGTACTAATGTTTTTTTTAATGCCAATTCCTAAACTTCCTACAATTAGGTTTTGATGAGCGTTAGATTTGGACTCGTTAAGTCTACACAGAAACAAGATATATTCTATTTAATCCAATAATGAAGGTTTTTGTGTTTCTACCGTGTACATAAAAGTGAATTTAATATGCTTCGTTTGGAATTTTTTTTTATAACCACAATAAAAAAATCAGTAAATAATAATAGCATACTAAACTAAGCAATACTTCTTTATTTATGCATGCGTACTGACGTTAGCATTTAAATGAAAACTTTTTGTTAAACTTATTCTCAAAACGGTCATACTTTGCTCAATTTTTTAGTATGATTTTTTTTATAATCGAATAAGTTATAACAGTAAAAAATTGTTTATAAATATTTATAATCGTTTGATTTGTTTGAGGCTGAATTAAAGCTTTAATCATACTTTTATTGACTTCTATGCAAAGACTCAATGGAAATGCTTTATTAGTAACTCGTATCTTAAAACAAAAACAAATAAATCATTCCGGATAAACATTTGATAAAGCTTTAATATACGTAACGAAGGGGTAACATGTAGTATTATACTTTTAACCGATCTTTGTTTTTTTTCAAATATTTTAAATAAAATTTCTTATTCAACTTTTTTGTTTGTTATTTGTGTTGTTGGCAAAAGTTCAAACGCACTGAAATTTTTTTTAATATTAATTCCTAAACTCCCTACAATTAGGTTATGATTAGCGTTAGATATGGACTCGTTAAGTCTACAAGGAAATAATACATTTTAATAAATTTTGATTGTTTATATAACGGATGTTCTTATTTAACTTCCGTGGCCATTCAAGAAAGCTGAACGTGCTTCGTTTGGCATTTCGTTTAAAATAAGCAATAAAATAGAACAGAAAAAGCTTAAATAGTCCACAAAATATTGTAATACATATTTTCATACACGCGTGGTGACTTCATATAAACATTTAATTTATTTAATTGTTTAATTTTTTCTTAAAACGATCATATCTTTGTTTTATTATTTAGTAACAATTTTCATATCGATTCAAATTTTAACAGTGAGAAAGAGTTTAAAATGATTATAACCGTTTGATTGGTTTGAGGCTTAATAATTTTTTTTAATTAGTTTTAGGCTGAATTTTTTTTTTTATCGATGAAAGTTATAATAGTCAAAAATAGTTTTTAATATTTATGATAGTTTGATCTTTTAATCATACTTTTATAGACTTCTATGTAAAGATTATAGACTTCTTATAGACTTCTATGTAAATACCCTATTAGTATCTACTATCATTAAACAAAAACAAATATATCTTTCCGGATAAAAATTTAACAAAGCATCAAAATATGTAACGAATTGAGCACATGTAAAATAATGCTAATAAGCAATCTTTGTTTTGTTTTTTTTTCAAACATTTTCATGCAAATGTCTTCTGCAACATCTTTGTTTGTTATAAGTGTTGTTGGCAAAAGTTCAAGCGCACTGAGATTTTTTTAAATAATTGTTCCTGAACTCCCTACAATTTAGTTATGATGAGCGTTAAATATAGACTCGTTAAGTCTTTACGCAAACAAGATATAATCTTTTTCGATTGTTCCAATAATGGAGGTTTTTGTGTTTCTACCGTTTCCATTAGAGTTAACTGAACATGCTTTGTTTGGCATTTTTTTTAAAAATAACAAAATAAATATATACTTATTAAAAAAAGAAATAGCCGACAAAACAAAGTAATTTATCAATTTTATACACGCGTACTTACGTCATATTAGCATATAAAGAAAAAAATTTTATTAACTTTTTCTTAAAACGGTCATACTTTGCTCAATTTTTTAGTGTTATTTTTTGTTTTTACCGATTTAAGTTATAATAGTGAAAAAATAGTTTTGAATATTTATGATTGTTGACTTTTTTTGAGTCTGATTTAGGAATTTTAATCAGACTTTTATCGACTTTTATGGAAAGACTCAATGGAAATGCTCTTTTAGTAACTGGTATCATTAATCAAAGTTAAATGAATCTTTTCGGATAAACATTTGATTAGGTATCAACTTCCGTAACGAATGGGTCACATGTAATATTATGCTCTTAAGCGATCTGTTTTTTTTTCGAAACATATTTTTAAAATATTTTCTGCAACATTTTTGTTTGCTTTATGTTGTTAAAAGTTGAAGCTTACTAAGATTTTTATTAATGTCAATTTCTAATTTCCCTACAATTAGGTTATGATAAAGTTTAGATAAGGATTACGTTAAGTCTACACGAAAACAAGGTATATTGTTTTTCTATTGTTTCAATAATGTAAGTTTTTGTGTATTTTTCTTTGCCATTTAAATTAACTGGACATGCTTCGTTTGGCATTTTGTGATTAAAGCAACAAAATATATATTTAATTTAAAAATAAATGGCCCATTAAACAAAGTAAATCATCCTTTTAATACACGCGTACTGACGTCATATTAACATTTAAATGAAAACTTTTTGTTTAACTTATTCTTAAAACGGTCATACTTTGCTTAATTTTTTAGTATTTGTTTTTTTTTTATAGATTTAAATTATAACAGTGAAAAAAAGTTTAAAATATTTTAGATCGTTTCATTTGTTTTAGACTGAATTATACTTTTATCGACTTCTATGCAAAGATTCGATGGAAATGCTTTTTTAGCAACTGGTATCATTAAACAAAAACTAATAAATCATTCCGGATAAACATTTGGTAAAGCATTAACATCCGTAACGAATGGGTCATGTGTTATATTATGCTCATAAGGGAACTTTGGTTTTTTTTAACATATTTACAAAAATGTCTTCTGCGACATTTTTGTTTTTTATATGTTTTGTTGGCAAAAGTTCAAGCGTACTAAGATTTTTTTTAATGTTAGTTCCCAAACTCCCTACAATTTTGTTATGATGAGCGTTAGAAATGGACTCGTCAAGTCTATACGGAAATTAAATATTGTATTTATCGTCGATTATTTCTATAATAGATGTTTTTGTGTAACTTCCGTGGCCATTCATGATGACGTAACATGTTTTGTTTGGCATTTCGTTTGAAATAAGCAACAAAATAGAACAGAAAAAGCTTAAATAGCCCACAATACAAAGTAATACATCTTTTCATACACGCGTACTGACTTCATATTAGTATTTTAAACTAATTTTTTTTAATTAGTATTTAAAACTTCATATTAGTATTATTTTGTTTAATTAATTCTCAAAACGATCATAACTTTGTTCTATTTTTTAGTAATAATTTTTTTTTGCGATTTAACTTTTGATAGTCAAAAATAATTTAAAATAAATATAATCATTTGATTTGTTTGAGGCTGAGTTTTAATCATACTTTTATCGAATTCTATGTAAAGACTCGATGTAACTACTCTATTTGTAAATGGTATCATTAAACAAAAACAAAAAAAATTTTCTAGATAAAAATTTAATAAAGCATCAACATCCTTAACGAATGGGGCACATGTTAGATAATGCTCATAAGCATTATTTGTTTTTTTTTTAAACATATTTATAACATTGTCCTTTTCAATATTTTTGTTTCATATATTTGTTGTTGGCAAAACTTCAAGCGTTCTGAGATTTCTTTAAATGTCAATTCTCAAACTTCTTACAATTTGGTTATGATGAGCGTTAGATGTGGACTCGTTAAGTTTTTTTTTTTTTTTTTTTCAAATACAACAATCGTCATTATATATTTTAAAAAGATTATATTTACATGTTTTTATTTTATATATACTTACACCACACATATTTAAATTGCGTAAAGAAAGTTAAGAATAATAATATGCTCATGTGTGTGTTTCATGCTAAGCACACATTATCACTGAGCATACATAAGCATATCATCAATGTGGATTTAAAACAGTTGAATAAAATAATTAAATTAAATTTTTATGGTTTTTAATATAAAGTGATGGCTATTAACAAGAAGTTAAGGCTATGCTTAGAACATACAACTTGCTGGTTAGTAATTATAAATGATGAATAAAAGCTGTGTATAATTAACTAACTTTTCATTCAAATTAAGGGTGATATCAAGTAGCTGATACTGGCTGACTATTTAATTTGATTAATAGATTAATATTTATAAGAACCTAAAATACATGTTTTAAAGGAGACGAAGGCCCATACAAAAATGGACACTAACAGCCTACCCAGTAATAAATTTTAAAAAAATTAAAATAAAAAGTCACTTCAAAATCAATAACAAAATTTTAAAGCAAGAAATTGTTTTTTCTTTTTTTGTTTATTTCTATTTTTTTTTTTTTTTTTTTTTTTCCATATATTTTTTACAGCTACATAGTTTTAACAATACACATTTTTATTACAAATAGTTTTAACAATATATATTTTTATTGCAAATACAGTCAAAAAGCTTCAAAAATAACTGAAATAACATTATTATATATTTGATGTACAAATTAATAAAGTAAAGTAAAATAGTTTTACAGTTTATATTTTGAAAAGACAAAAAAGTCTTAAAAACGGTAAAAATTAAACTTTAGTTAAGTAGTCAAAGGAAACTCGCAGAAAACTGTGTGTATTTTATCAAACTGTTTGTATTTTTTATTTAAATAATTTCATTTTTCTTTTAATTTAAATAATTTTATGTTTATCTTAAATTTCAATTTAATTTAAATTTAGTTTTTTTTTTTAATTTTTACTTTTTACTTTAATTTTTCATTTCAAATTAATTTAAATAATTTAATTTAAATTAATTCATGTTTTGTTTAAATATTTTCAAACTGTGTGTATTTTTTATTTAAATAATTTCATGAGATTCGAGTCCGTTTAAATTATTTGTACTTGCTCTGATTTAATGTCTTTGCTACGACAAATAGCTAGTTCTCATCCAATTTTAATGCGATCCTTATGATAGACTGAATAACCTTTCAGACAAACAATTGAATCAGATATTCTGTGAGAAATGATTCGCAAACATTTTCAATATTTAAAGAAATTCCGTCATTACTATTACAACCATTTAATTTTAAATTGATTGATTTTTTACATTTTTTTGTACAATTTATTTTGTTTGGCTGACTCGAATTAGATATAAGTGATTTACTACAAAGTAATACATCTATGTCATCTATGGATTTACGTGAGAAAGAATGGATGGGTCGTGGTTTGAAGACTGTGAATAATGGTATGAGTAAAAGGAAAGCAGCTTTAACATTTGGCTTTAAAAGATCAACTTTCATCGACAGAAGTAACGGCAATCATAGTAAAAAAATGGCAAACCAACTAAGTTGAGCGAAAACATCGACGGCATTTTAATAAAAATTTTAATATTTATGAGTGATATTGGATTTAGTTTGACAAGACTTAAAGTACTGTGTGTTGTTAACGATCATTTGATTAATTCAAATCAAATTTTGTTTTAACGGCGGCGAAGTTACACTTGCCTAGTATTACTCATTATAAGACGTCATTGTGAAGAGCTATCGCTCAGAACTTCAAATAATATGCCGTCAAATTGTCAACTGATCACTATTGATCGATGGTATTTATTAAAATTGCCTGTTTATTTGTAAATATTTTTTATAATTAATTGTTATTTAATAAAAAAAAGTGCAATTTTGAAAAGGTAAATTTCAATTTAATTGTAATGTTTACAAATTGTCCTTTTTTTATAAACTGCTCAATTTATAACATTTTAATAACCTACTTTATAATTTTTTTTTATTTCTTAAATCAAGGTTTGCACAAGTGTATGCACAAGTTATGCACAAGGTTTGCACATATGTACAATATACATGGATTCGAAACTAAGCCGTTCCACATTTTTTATTGCGAAGTATCTGGTCTTCAATGTGATCAAGGCAAATTTAAGGTTGTTTGTTTCAATGTGATCAAGGCAAATTTAAGGTTAGTTGTTTGTAAGGTTGAAAAGGGCCTAAGAAACTTTGTAGTAGTAACTAAATAGCTTCAGTCACAATACTCTTTGTTGTGATGCTTTTGGAACCTTCTTGCCTGTTCATGTTTTATTCCAAGGCCGGAGGTATTTATGATGAATTTGGGTCTGTATTTTAAGAAAGATTTAAACAGATGTGCCAATATCCAGTAAACTCTGCATTTTAAAAACTACTATTTCGTTATTTGAAATTTTAAATTGATGTCTAAATGGCTTCTAACTCTGGACGGGCCTAACACCTATGTGTCACACAATCTGGCTTGATGGAAGGACTTGCTTTTGCTCGGTGGTTTGAAAAGACATTTTCCCACATTGTCGCTAGCTTGAAGACTCCAAAGTCCTTTTCCTAGATGGCCATACCTCACGTGTAACGCTGGAGCTAATTCACTTAGCAAAAAAGGAGAACATCACTATTTATTTAAGAGGAGAACATTATTATCTACCTGCTCATACATTTCACGTGCTACAGCCACTTGATGTAGGCATATTTAGAATGGTGAAAAGTAAATGGCGCGGAATCCTAAACAAACATTTCATTTAAAACGGTTGTAAAGATCTCACAAAAACTAGATATCCTGGGTTGCTCATACAGCTTATTGACCAAAGCTACTTGAGCAAAAATGTGCGTTCGAGCTTCAAAGCAACAGGTATATTTCCTTTGTGTCGGGAAAAAATGACTAATAAAAAGTTAGCTATTGGATTGATTTTTGCGTAATGTACTCAAGTCTTACCACCACTGCCTATACCAGTCACTACAATTCCAAAAAAATTTTTAAGTATACAAAAGAATAGAAGTTCAAGCACACAAACTTCTTCGAACTCAATAAAATAAATACCTCCTTTATCATGCTGCACAATTGCTTGTGAGCATTTAAAGAGAATAATTTAAAATGCTTTACATTTTGGCCTGCTCAAAGATTCCGTATCAGAGTCAAAGTTAAATGTTTCTAATAATAACATGCGCCTCATGAAAAGTTACATTATGACTTCTGAAGAAGCTTTGATAGAACTTACAAATAAGCACAAAATAAAATGAACGAAATACAAGCTAGAAAATTTTTGCGTGAAAAAACAAAACAGGAGGCTAATTCAATGACTCTAAAACGTTGGCAAAGGAAGCTGGTTTGTTTAACAACCCTACTATTAAAAAGCGGAAACGACAACTAGTGGGAGTTATCGAAACTCCAATTATGTCAAAATCCGAAGCGAAATCTGATCGAAGAAAAATTTTATATCTGTGATGGTTTTTTAAATTCAAAAAAATGTCAAGCTTGTGACATTTTTTTTGGAGATGAAACTGCAGCTCAACAATAACTAAGGATGCGTTGCAAATCCTGTGACAATCGTATCTTAAATGGATCTTGCCTATCTAATTTAGCGAACGATATGTGCAAGAATTGCCAATAACCTAGTAGTTTTAATAAAAAAATAAGTTGTTTTTAACTTTGTTGAAAAATATCTTTTTAATTATATTAACCAGCGTCGTAGCAAACGTAGCACGTAGATGTCCCCAAGAAGTCCTTATGGACTTTTCAGTGATAACACCTTAAGGTCATTTGAACAAGAAAAAAAGGGGATAAAACCCAAAGTAATAAAATAATTGACTTTTTATAATAAAAATAAAAAATAATACAATTTCTACTTTAAAAAGCCTTTTATTATCTGTTCCATGTTGTTTTCTTTGGCAACCCAAAAGATTTTTTTTGAGTCCGAGACGACGCCCTCCTTGGTTACTGGCATTACCTAATATTATATCATCATTAAACAAAAAAACAACATTTAAAAATTAATTTTTATTATTCGTGATGTGATGCGTTATTAGGATTTATATAGCAACCGAACTTATGAGATGGTATTGAAAGTTCGGTCAAAGTAGAGTTTACAATATCGACTATCAATATAATTTTCTGTATGTTTCAGAAAAAGAAATTAAATATTTAAAATTTATGCGTGATAAACATGTTCAAAGTTTAAGTGACCGCTCTTTAACGAATTTATGGTATACAATTCGATCAACTTTTCTTTACTACAAAGCTCAATAACCTACAAAAAAAAATAGTTATACGTTCTTGGTAAATAAATTTTTAAAATTATCTAAATTTTGGAAATATTTTTCAATGCAGATGCTGGTTTAAGGATGAACCAATTTAGTATAAAAACACTACAATTTTTATCGTTTTGTTTTCATATGTATTTTGACAGTATAATGTCTTTTGAATACTTTTTATTTTCAGTGGATTGATTACGATTGGCAAAA